CTTTTCTTGCCTGTTTTCCCTGGCTGGACCCCCAGTACACTGTTGAACAGCAGATACACCCTTGTCTTACCCCTGCGTTTAGAAGGTTGTGTGTTATTTGTAAACACTGTGCAACAGGCTGCCCCCGCCCCGCGCTCCGATTTTGATCTCCAGTGTTTTATCTAGCAGCAATGTTGAGTTTGGTGGGCCACCTTTTGATGATAGGTTTGTATCCCACGCAGTCCCTTTCACAGTCTGGACCATGTAGTTTCAGGAGGCAGGGGTCTGTTGAGTGCCGCCGTTCCAGGCTTGTGGAAGGGACTATGAGAACCCTGTGTAGAGTCCCGCAGACGCCGACACCAGCACCAAGGGTCCTCCGGGAGTCCAGGCGCGTCAGTCCTGGATGGCCGCTGTGTTTGGTTTGGAGCCTGGAGCTTGCGGCCACTAGAGGTCGGTAGAAAATGCAGAAAGGGGAGGCAGGTGGAGGCCCTCGGGCTGTGCGGCCCGCTCCGCCCCCCCCAGCCTGGCGCCTGTGTGCCGTCAGCGTGCTGGGCATGCTCAGAGCGAGGAGAAGCTAGGCAGCGTAGTTGGGGCGACCCAGGGGACCCGGGTCGAGAGGTGGTAGGTGCAGTGCGCCGTGGGGAGGGCCCCACTGCCGGGCTCTGGTCTGTTGGGGTGAAGTGCACGCAGCCGGAGAGTCTCAAGTGTTAGCTACGGGGAGGCTGCGCCGCTGGGGGCTGTCATTATGTGACGCAGTGATTCCTGTCGCGTCCGCACACTGTGTCGGGTTATACAGGCTGTCTAAACTGTGTCTCCTATAGACGCGACAGACACGGGGTGTCTCCCTCCGCCCAGCCTCTGGTGCCTCCAATTTGAATCTTGTAATGGATTCCTGTAGGACTCCTGGTGTGGCGCTGTGGGTTAATGTGCCAGACTACAAAGCCGGTTCAGCTGCAAGGTCGGGCGGGTCAAGCTCACCAGCTGCTCCTCGGAAACCCTATACAGGGTCGCTATGGGTCGGAATCGACTCAACAGCGCTTAACAACACAACAACAATGGGTTCCTGCAGGTGTGCCTCGGGAAACCCCGCACGGCGGACGCAGTTTGAGAGGGTTCTTCGGTGTTCGGGACACCTGCCCTGGTCGCCCTGGGCGCGAAGTTGCTGGCGGGACCCTAGCTGCAGAAGCGTGCCAGCTGGGAGTGGGGGCAGTTTGGGCAGGGAGGGGGCGCCCTCCCTCAGCCTCAGTTTCCCTTTGTCTGCCTTGGTAAGTGTGACCTGTGGTGTCGCGAGACGGCAGCTCCATCACTCATGACTCACCGACGCGTGAGCCCCTTCCACTCAGGGAAGGCCCTCCCCAGCTCAGGCAGACCCTAGAGGTCCCCATCCCCCCTTTTGGTCTAGTTGTGAGCGTGGGGCCAGTTGGGGAGCAGGTCGGGTGGAGAACATGCCTCGGGCATGGAGGAGAGTGGGGAGAGGGGTAGTTCATGAGTCATAGGGGCGGGGCCTGAGTTACTGTCCAGGTTCAGGCACACTGTCACCCCCCCCATCTTCTGGGGGTCTCCAAAGGCCTCCAGCTCCCCTATGCCCTGGCTGCTGGAATGTTTCTGGAGTCACTGCAGCATTTAGACCCCCTTGTGGTCACTGGAGCTGTCCCTGCTGACTTTTGCTACTGTGAGTCTCCTCTGGGCTGTGGAGGGCTGGGGGTGTGTGTCTGGAACAGCTGGGGTAGCCGTGTGCCACAGTGACCACTGTACATGAACATGCTCCTGACCAGGTGCAACTGATGGAAGCAGTGGTGTCAGAACCAGCATGCACCGGGGGTGGGGTGGGGGTGGGGTGGCCTCAACAACATTTCATGGCTGCTCGTCTCCGCAGCACCACTTGGAACCTTCTGGATGATTTCTGCTCCTCATTTGCTCTGAGGACTGGAGGGTTGAGTCTGACCTCCCCAAGCTCTGGACCCAGCTGAGGGGGCTGGTGGCATCTCTCTGGCCCTGGCAACAGAAATATCTGGTGTGAGTCCTTTAAAGATGACTGTGCTGTGCTCAATGTTATTCTTTTATTGTGTTTAACCTTCACGTGTATGTGTGTACCACCATGCTCCGATGGTGCCCTTGCGCTGGAGGTGTTCTGGTTGTCCTTTGATGCTGATGTGTCTGTCGTCCTGCTGATGGATGTACTGACGTCTGGGTGGTTCCAAGGTGGGCCATTGTGACCTGTACCACAGTTGGTGATTCTAGTAAGTTAAAACAAGATGAGAGCAGTGGGTGCGAGGAGTAAGGAGTGAGTATTAGGGTTGGGACAATGATTGGACTTGGCTAGGCTTAGAATTTTGGTTGTTGTTAGAGTTAGGGTTAAGTTGTTAAGTGCAGTCAAGTGGATTCTGACTCATAGTGATCCTGTATAGGTGAGCTTGAGACACCAACCTTGTGGTTCCTAGGTTGCAGTCTAGCACATTAACCCGCAGCACCACACCAGGACTCCAGGGTTATGGTTAGGATGAGGATTAGTGTTAGGAATACCGCTTGGGCCAGGGTTACCAGTAAAGCTTGGTCTAGTTTTCAGGGTTATGAATAGGTTTATCTTTATTTAAGATTTTTCTTGAAATCAATTTAGTTTCCTCTTAATCTGGAAATTACATAATAACATTATTCCCTCTTTTGACTTTACATTTGTGTGTTATTGTAACGTATCCCTGGTTGCATACTTCTTTATCTGGGTCAAGTCAAGGTGATACCGTCACGTCGTACGCTGGTCTCAGGTGGTTGTCTGCTGTTATAGGTGCTCAGACCACAGAACGCCCTTTAGTAGTTTTTATAAGGTTGGTCTGGTTTTTACAAATTCGTTTAATTTCTGCTTGTCTGAAACAGACCTAATTTCGCCATCATATTTGAGGGACAGTTTTGCTGTCCTTGGTTGGCAGTGTGTTTCTTCCAGCGTTTTATAGATGTCATTCCACTGTCTTCTTGCCTACATGATTTCTGCTGAGAAATCAGAGTTAAGTCGTATTAGTTCTCCTTTGTAGGTAACTTTTTGTTTTTTCCTGAGCTGCTCTCAGGAGTCTTTCCTTGTCTTTGGTTTTGAAAGTTTGATTATGTCTTCTTTTTTCCTTTTGGGGTATAATTTGGGATTAGTTCAACTTCTTGAGTGGCGATCTTCTCATATTTCATGACGTTAGGGCAGGTTAACGAGCCTCCAGAAGGAGGTGGTATACCAGGTGCCCAACCCCAGGCACAGCGGAAGCTGCATGGGAGGGCTACCACTGGCCACTGGGCTGACAAGGACGGGGACTGGCCACACCTCAGTCTACCAGGAAGGCACAGGAACAAGGGAGACCGGCACCTCCAGTCGTGTCTTGTGAACAGCTACTTGAAACAATTCGAGACAGCTGTGGCGCCCATTCCAGCCCCCAGTGGGCCTGTTCTCCTTCTCTCTCATTGCCCCTATTCAGCTGCCTCTTCCAGGCAGCATTCAACCCACATCTCCATCCCAGCCTCTGGGTCACCATATGTACCTGTCTCACTCGGTCTCCCATGTCCTTGTTAGAGAGTGCTGACCCAGTGCGTACAGTTTCCCACCATCTTGCCCCAGACCCTCTCCCTCTGTCTCTTTCTGTGATTTAAGAATGTTAATCTCACGTGAGACCTTATCCAGAGAAGCAGCGACACCAGAGATGGAGGCAGGAAGAGTGGGGACATGGAGAGAGGGAGCAGCTGAGGACTCTAGATTCATGGGAAGAGAGGGACTGAGAGCTGGTGGCCAGGAGGCAGGCTTGTAGAATGTGCCCTTTGGTGGTGTAAATTATTATATATGCCTGGTGATGGTTATTTCGTGGAGTCGGTTCTGACTCATAGCGACCCTGTACAAGGTTTCCGAGGCTGTAAATCTTTACGGGAGCAGAAAGCCTCATCTTTCTCCCACAGAACAGCTGGTAGTTTTGAACTGCTGACCTTGCAGCTTTCAGTCTGATTTGCCACCAGAGCTCTGTAGCAGTAGGGACACATATATGACACAAACCCCCCAGAATCTTTACTTCAAATAGACACTGTAACAATGTGAAGTCGGAGCTATCACGAGGCCACTCAGCATCTGTCCCAGCCCAGCCCGCTATCAGTGCAGCTCCTGTTGCTCACCTGCACACAAGGTAACTGTGCTACCACGTGGTATGGCCTCTCCCCGCCCCCATCTTTTATATTCTCCCCCACTTCCTTTACTCACTCCCTGCAGAGGGCCTGCCCCGGGCCCAGGTGGTCTGATGGAACCTGACTACTGAGTTTTAAAAAGTGTTAAGGATCCAAAAAGGCGGGAGGAAATAACTACTGCTCCATGGATAGATTTCCAATACATTAAACAAAGAAGCCAGACATGAAGCGTATGGACGGTATGTTTCTGTTTGTATCAAGTTTCAGAACAAGCAACACAAATGATAGTGACGGAAACAGGTCAGTGGGTGCTGTGGGGCTGGGGAGGGCTGGCTTGACAGGGGTATGAGGGAACTCTCTGGGTAACAGGAACAGCCTGTATGTTGAGAGCAGGGTGGTTCTACAGATCAAGTCAGGTCATATTTGTCCAAACTCATCTAAAGCAGACAGGTAAGGGTCATGCATTCCACAGTGGCAAAGTGTGTCTCAGAAAACACCAGTGTTACAGAGATGACACCCACTGCAACTGAAGGGATGGAGCGGGGAGACGACGGGGTGATAGGGCACCGGCCCGGAAAGCAATGTGCCAAGGACGGTCCACAGAACAGCTGGTCTTACATGCTGGTGACCAGAGTGCCTGCTTCCCTCTGGGAACCTCCACTTCCGGCCACAGCACCATGCCTTGTCCCTCCACTCTCCTGAGTGCTCCCAAGGAAGGTGCAGAGACAGCCTCTGTTCTTCACACAGGCAGGTTAACCCTGACGATGTCACCGCCCCACCACACCTGGACCGGTGCACACAAACTCTCAGATACGGTACTATCTGAACAGGTGTTGCTCCATCCCCAGCAACTGTGCCCACATCCCGCCTGCGGCAGCTCACTCCGGGCTGTGCACCCGCTGGTGCTGGATCAGGTGCGAGCTCAGGGCGAAGGCTCGACTGCATTCAGTGCAGCGGAACGGCCTCTCACCGCTGTGGACGCGCTGGTGACGGAAGAAGCCCGAGAGGGCGCGGAAGGCGCGGCCACAGACGGCGCACTCGAAGGGCTTCTCCCCGGTGTGGATGCGCCGGTGCTCTCGGAGGAAGGAGCTGCGGCTGAAGGCGCGGCCGCACTCTGCGCAGGCGTAGGGCCGCTCGCCGCTGTGTACGCGCTGGTGCTGGATGAGGTTGGAGCTCTGGCTGAAGGCCTGGCCGCACTCCTGACACTGGTAGGGGTTTTCCCCGTGATGGGTCCTCTGGTGCCGGACGACGTTGGAGCTGTGGATGAAGGCTTTCCCACACTCGTGGCACTCGTACAGTCTCTCACCAGTGTGAATCCGCTGGTGCTTGGCGGCGTCTGACCGCTGGACAAAGGTCTTACCACACTCCACACAGCAGTAGGGTTTCTCCCCCGTGTGGGTCCTCTGGTGGCGGATGAGGTTGAAGCTCTGGCTGAAGGCTTTCCCACACTCCTGGCAGACGTAGGGCCGCTCCCCATTGTGTATCCGCTGGTGCCGGACCACGTGTGAGCTGTGGATGAAGGCCTTCCCGCAGTCGCTGCACGAATATGGCTTCTGGCCACAGTGGACGCTCTGGTGCTTCGCCGCATCCGAGGAACACGTGAAGCTTCGGCGGCACGTGCCACACGGGTAAGGCCGTCCTTTCCGCCTCCCAGGCTCAGAGCTCCGCTGGCCCCGAGCTCCGCCAGGCTTCTCACTGGTGCTGGACCCTAGAGGGGCGCTCCCAGGCCCCTCCATGGCATCGTTGCTCTCACAGAGGCGTGGAAGTCCCAGCACCTGCAGAGATTCCTGTAGCTGTCCAGGCCTGGCCTCTCCCTGAGTGTCTGTGTCTTCTGAAGTTTCCTGCTTCAGAGTCAGCCCTGGGCTTACACCCCGTCCATTCACAGCTGACCGCGGGCAGGCAGAGGCGGGTGTTGGGGAGGAAGCGCCATCAGCTAGTAAAGAGGCGTGAGGTGCAATTTAAGACGTGACAGCACAAATGAATGATGCACAGACATGTGCGGATGTGAGATGGCAATCTAGGCAGTGGTGCCAGTAGTTCCACGTGCACTGGACTGCAAACCACAAGATCGGCAGTTCAAACCCAGCAGCTGCTCCTGGAAAACCCCATACAGGGTCGCTATGAATCGGGTCTGACTCGACAGCACTTAACAACAACAACAAAGAATAATAATAAAACCCAAAATAAGTCCTTGCCCAGTGCACCTGGCCCACTCCCTAACAGTGGACATGGGGGGTCTCTAGGAGGCTGAACCTGTAACCTCAGAGGCACATGAAGAGAGGAGACATTACCCAGGTTCTAGGCTTCCTTTTCTGCCACCAACTGAAAGGGAAGAAATCTAGTTGGCAGTCAAAGTATGGTGGGACCAATACACTGGGATGCACAGGGCAGGAGCATGTGACAGTGGCTGTGTGCCAGTCTGCTTAGGTCTCCGGACTTTGATTCTTGGAGACAGTGTATACCCCTAACCATCCTCCACAACCACCAGCCCATAGGGCTGCGGCCACGTGCCAGCAGAGCCCCACTCACAGAAACCAGCACGGGAGCAGTACCCCGAAAGTGGAGAGAACGTGGGGGCGGCAGAGGCAGCCGGGTACGTCCGTACTGTGTGCTCATGGGTAGACGGCGTGACTTTGTGAGCACAGGGACAGGAGTGCTGGCCATGTGTGTGCTGTCCACGAGGAGCAGGAGCTGTGATCACAGGGGCTTGGCCCAAGGACAGACCTCAGCAGGCACAACCCAGCAGGTGAGGGGACAAAGCAGCTAAATCTCAACCGGCTGTGCCTCTGGGGACCTGGAAGGACAGCCGAATCACAAACACAGGCTTCTGTGAACCAATGAGGACAAAGCACAGGGGTGTTGGCACGCCCATGCTCCGGTAGGTAGGCAGCTCCAGTCCCACACCCAGCCAGGCTCCCACCTAGGAGGAGGAGCCATAGGGAAGGGTGAGTGTGAGCAGGAGTGGCTGGCAGGGCACGAGTCTGCACAGAAGACCCTTATGTCAGGGTGTTACAGCTGCAGCAACAGCGCAAGACTCGGTGGATTCATTCCGGCTTTTGCAGCGGGGAGCCTGGGAGGGCAGGTGGCCAAGAGGCCAGGCCGATTTTCACTTCTCGAGCCCTGGAGACACAGCATGTGGGACTACTGTACTCAGAAGTGTCCAGGTGGAGGTGTTCCAGGTGAGCGTGGGCAGAGACCCCAGGAAGAGGGGAGGGCAGCTGGCAAGGATGAATGAGTGGTGCCAGGAAAGACATGGGTTTATTTAGTGCCCTGCTCTGGCAGCAAATGGCACTGCCCCCTCCTAACCCAGAATGTTCCCCCACCCAGGGACCCTCACTCACCCCCAGTCCTCACCTGTGTGCATGTCCATCAGGCTGCCTCCCTTGCCCTCTGCAAACTAGGTCCGGGCTCCTCGTCACTCCACCGTGCAAGAGGAGTGGGATGTTTCCTGCTTGAGTGTGAGAGAAGTCTGCAGTCAGGACGGGTGAGGGCTGGGGAGGAGGAGGTCAGAGGGGGCCGGGCTCAGGACACAAGCCTAGTACGGCTTCAACCTGGCCCTGACCTGGCTCTTTCCACAGACCTCCTCCTCCCACAGGGGCTGAGGAGCTGGTGGGAGAGAAGGAGGGGACCACCCAGTGGGGCACCAGCCAAGGAGAGGCTGCTCCTGATGCATCCTCCAAGTCCGAACCCTTACACTTTAAAGTTTCATTTTGTGTTTCAATCAGTTTGAGAACAGTTTTTATTACTAGGAAGCAAGGAGACTCTGATGCCCCCAAAATGGGTCCCATGCGCCAGCCTTGGGGACTCCGCCTCACCTTGCAGGCCTCCCCACCCCAGTTCAGAGCAGGCCTGCTAGTTTCGGGCTGTGCTTGTCTGGCTCCACACCAAACGTCCTGTGTCTTCTGTTTCAAATGCCAGGAGAATTTTTATGGATTTTAAAATTATACTGACAATCATACAGATTTAAATGTAAACGTACGTGAAAAGATTTTGTGACTGGTGCTGTTTGGGGTTGAGGAAGGAGTTTTCTAAGCCTGAAACCATAGGTAAAGCCTGAGATATTTCACTACAAGCCAAAATGTAGGGGGAAAAAGGATAAACTGGGGAAGGGGACATTTACAAAACAGATTGAAATCCTTTAATAGAGTGGGGCTGTGGACTAACGGGCTGGACTGCAAAGGCGGTTTGAACCACAAGGTCGGCGGTTCACGCTCATCAATTGCTCCTCGGAAACCCTATACGGGGTCGCTAAGGGTCAGAACCGACTCGATGGCACTTCACAACAACAAAGACTTCTGTATAGCAATAGGTAGAGCATCAGCAGTGGTCCGAACAGGTCTCTCACATAAGAACATGTAAAGGCCAACACACTTTTAATCTGCCACCTTAACACAACTAAGAAATGCATTTTTAAGTACTATATTTTCCCTATGAAGCTGTAGATATTAAAACAAAAACAAACTAGCAGGGAACCTGGATTCCTGGTGTAGCGTTGCAGGATAAGCACTGGAGTGCTAACTGCAAGGTCGGCGGTTCAAACCCACCAGCCGCTCCTTGGAGACCCTATAGTGGGTCACTCTGAGTCAGGGCTACTTGGGCACGAACAAGCAGGGATCGTGGACGAGGCGCTCACTCGCGGACAGACCTGCGCCTTTCCCCTCTGATGGGGGAATCCCGGACGTTGGCAGGCTCCCCTAGCGGGCTGGATGACACTTGAGGGCGAGGTGGCAGAGGGCCCAGTGGTGAGGGGGTGCGGGGCCCCCGAGCTCGGCTCTCAGCACTAAGGAAAAGCCCCGCGAAAGGAGCATTTCAAAGGAGCTGGAAGCGGGCACGCCCCGCGTGGGGGAAATCGAACCTGCAAACGGCGGCGGCTCTGCCTCCTCCGCTTCTCGCTCGGGGTGACCCCGCAGCCCACCAGCCCCTTCTGGTCCTGCCCACCTGCAGCTCCCACTCCCACTCACCTGCCCGCCGGGACTACAGGCCAGAGTGCCATCCCTCCCTCCCCCGCGTCCGGAGCACTTCCGGTGACGCTCTAGGCGGCTGGAAGACCGCGCGCTCGCTGCTCGGAGGCCTCACTGACCGATCCCCGAGCGGGCGCGTGGCCTCAGCGGTGGGGTAGCTCCGTGGGATCTTCGCGCTGCCCGGGGCTAGGCAGCTGGAAGACCCGCGCACCTCGGAGTCCCTAGCGTTGCGTGCAAGACCCTTTCCTGTCTTCGACCAACTTCTGTCCAGTTTCTCCTCCCTGCCCCCAGTCTCGCCTCCAGGGTTTTCCTGGCACCACTTTCGGTCACATCCGGAAAGCTCTAGGTCCCTTGAGACTCACCGCCCGAAACTCTCCTCCCTTCCCGGTCTAAGGCTTCATCGCCTGGAGTCACATCCCTGGGATACGGTGGAGAAGCTGGACTGCGAGTGGACGCCAGGCAAGGTGTGGGATGGATAAAAAAAAAAGTGCACAATGAATCAAGTGTACATCAATGGAGAGAGAAGGTGGGCCCATGGCGGGAAACATCCTCCCTCTCCATGAACTGCTAAACACAAGCCGTGAGCCGAGGGAGCTGCAAAGCTGCCCTTTGTCACGGGGCCTCAACTTCCTGACCCCAAAGCCTTGACAAACTTTCCCAAGCCCACGGGCGGCATTGTTGCCATCAAGTGACTGATTCACGGTGACCCTGTGTGCTACAGTAGACATGGGCTTTCAAAGCCTGAGTTTTCAGTGGGTTGCCAGGTCTTTCTTCCGAGGTACTTCTGGATGAACTCTTATCGCCAACCTCTTAGTTAGCAGTGACTCTGAGCACAGCACAAGGTAGAACGTAGACCACAGATCACGTACCACTGAAGGGCAGATGTAGCCTACTGTATGTTTATTTATAACAAATTATAAAACATGTAAAAATAACAATACACTTAAAACACGTTTTCCTGCACATCCCAGGGGAATCTCTCTGGAGTCCTAGAGATCATCGCTCCTCTGTCGTTGTTAGGTGCTGTCGAGTCGGTTCCGACTCATAGCAACAAACACTGCCCGGTTCGGCGCCATCCTCGCAGCAAGTGACCTTCTCAGAGCGCGAGTCTGACCACGAAGCTCCAGCCTGCCGGCTCTGACCGTCCTACAAGGTCTGGCGTCGCTTCTCCCACACCCCTTTACCGCCCCTCCTTGGCCTGCGATCCCCGAACAAGGCCATTCTCCAAGTTCTCTGGGTGCCACCGATCCAGTGGTTCCAAGCCTAGCACACCGGCTCCATAAGAGGGGAGCTGTCACTTTTGGAAGTTCAGTTCCGAGATCACAGGGAGGTAGAAGACTCCGGGGAAGGAAGCTCCCAGCGCCACCACAACTCTTCCCCTCTGCGCCCCAGCGTCTCTGTTCCTGGAGAGCCGGCACCGGGCCACCTCCGTGGGCAGTTGGGCGGGCTGGAACGGCTCAGTCTGCTGGATCTGCACGTGACCCTAACCTCCCCGCCCCCCATGCGTGGGACACTCGGAGTTCCCGACGCCTCTGGGAAGCCCCACGCTCTATGGAGGCCCCACCCCTGTTCTTTTGGGGTTGCCACCGTTAGGGGTGAGCTCCCCGGGACGCTGCGGACCAAGAAAGAACCAGTCTCGCGAAGAGCCGCGCGCGCCCCTTCCAGATGAAGGGGAGGAAATGTTCAGAGCAGGAGCCACATCACTGGAACTCAATTCCGTCTTAGTCTGGAGGCTGCGCAAAGCCAGGGACTGGCGGGGGCGCTGGCCGCACTTTCAGACGCTTTTGAGGGGAGGGATGGATGCCTGCGTTCCCAAGGGTTTGTATTCTAGCAACACTGGCGGATACCTGAGAGAAGGTGGTGCCTCTGTGCACGTCCCACCCTCGCTTGTGATTCAGGTCCTCTGTCCTGCCTTCTGAGAGAAGGCCTTCGGAAGGCGCGGGTGCGTTCCCCTGGACCTTATAGGTCTCCTGGGTGGACAGTACCGGTGTGAAGGGCACGGGAGCAGAGGCTTAGAGTCAGAGGCTCAGCGTGGAGGCTGCCGGCGGCTTCGATTCCGGCCTCCCAGCAGAGAGCAACGCTGCGGGCCCTACGCTCACTCCGGGCTGTGCACCCGCTGGTGCTGGATCAGGTGCGAGCTCAGGGCGAAGGCTCGACTGCATTCAGTGCAGCGGAACGGCCTCTCACC